AATTTCAAATTCGGTCTTTCACATGCCCATGAGGATTACGTCATTCAAAATTCATGCTATATATACCGTTGGTTTATCACAATGCGAGAAATATATATACATTCATGCAGATTTTTCATTATTTAATTTCTTCAAATATAGTTCAGGTCACTAACATTTGGTGGCAACATTTAGAAAAGTGGAACTGACATTTATAGTGATTCAACGCAAATTCGCAAAACGAAAACAATAGTCCTTTCAGGGACAAAGCGCCTTAGGACTAAAAATCAGTTTTATTACTTTATTTACACACCTTGTATATAGCAGATTCATGGACCTTATAAGAAATAGACTAATCCAAATGACTTTTTCCCTCGTCTGAGGCGTTCCGGCTGTCACCTTGATCACATCCGGAGGAGTAAAAACGACTTGCAGAAATTTAACAGTTGTTGCCTATTGCAGAGTGTATAATTGTCAAGAAAAAGCTGGTTGTAGCGCCTCATTTCACAAATTAGAATTTCTTCATATTTTTATTTTTGAAATTGAGATTGATTTTTAAAAATTTAGCATATTTTTCACGCATAATTAACGTTCCAAATAATTATAAAGCTATTGCATGCTTTTCAGGGCTGGATAATTTTTAGCTTTTATAAAATAATATTTTAAATCTGAACTAATAGAAAATTTCAAACAAGCAATTTTCTCTTGCAATTTTTACGCTTTTTATTGGTGTAAAAAAATACTAAAATTAAAAAATACTAAAATATTTAAAAACGAATTTTTGAAAGTTTTGTTTAAAATTCTAAATTGTACTGCTATTTTAAAATTATAGATGAGTATTATAGCACAATTTCTATAAAGGAATTTGAGTTCAATTATATTTTATAATACATCATAGTGATAAACACTTTTGACTCCTTAAAAATTTTTATACATTTAATTCTATTATTAAAATTGTATTTAACCGTAATAATTAATTTTGCTTGTATTTCATAGTGATTATTTTTTTAATTTATTTTTAGTTCTGCATAAGATTTTTTTTTTATTTATTGTTAATTTAATTTATTAGCCCAAAGGGGCGGTAGCCTAGAAACGCTGTAGTTTCGAAGCGGCATTTTGCGCTGTTTTACTATAAATGTCCGTGTCTCCTTGCAAATTGTTGTTACCAAATATTATCGCCCTGTATTATATTTAAAGAAATAAAATAATGAAGAATCCGCATGAATACATGTATGTTTCTCGCACTGTGACAAAAACGACAGCATCTAGAGCCATCAAATTTTGAATAATGTAATCCACCACCAGAACATGAGCATCTGGACGGCCGAATTTCGATTTTTTTTAATGTATTTCATATTTTGTAAAACTTTAACGAATTTTTAATTAACAAAGTCAACGAGTTCAGAGCGAGCACTTTACGGAAAATAGCAGTTTTATCTCCAGTGCGGAAATTCTAAAGATATGCTGTTTTCAAATGTATGGGGTTTACGGGCGAAGAACATGATATTCAATAAATATAGGTAACACACACACAAAACGTTAAAAAAAAGGGTTCATTTTGGGCGTAATATAAAATCTGAGTGCTTCTAGATTTTATTTTACCTTTTATTCGCCCTTCATTACTCTAAAAAAATTTTATGATCCGAATTTTATAAATTAAAAAATAAATATTCCACTTTAATGTTACTAAGTTAATGATGATTTAATCAAATAAATGATTGTTTTGTAATGTTATTATAGTTTTGAAAATCACTGCCTGAAAATGGTCATTAAATTTTAAAAAAAATTATCAGATCTTGTTTAATTTTACCTTATTTAATTCAAAGCATCACTAACTATCAATTTTATTTAATTTTATGTTATTTGTACGCAAAATAAAGTTTATATATTTTGTGCTTAAAGTTTTTACCGTTTTAAAGTAAAGATGTTTTTACAAGTATTACGCGTGAAAAAAATGCGAGAAATGCAGTAAGAAGTGCTTTAAGGAGATACATTGTATCCTATTTGGAAAAAAAAAAAAAAAACTGTAGCTTTCATAATCTCATAAGTATACAATGTATCACATTTAATAATTAAAAAGCGTTATCTGATACAAACGCCATTGGTTTCAGTGTGAAAGTAAACCAGATCGTCCCTACTTTTTCTTGCCGACATGTCGGTGACGCGCGCCCCGCCCACTGGGTTAGTCTATCTCTTATAAGGTCCCTCGGAGCAGATCTTGATGACGTCATTTTCAACTCCGCGGCAAATAGGAAATAACGGAATTCCAACAAGCGCATTATTTCTAATTATGATTTTTAAACACAAATTTTCATTAAAAACAAGAACATATTGTTTAAACAAAATATCAGATAGATTCTTGTTGATTTATTTTTTACAAAAAACAGGAAATTTAATAATTTCATGATACAAAATGTGTAAAAAGCACTTTAATTATTTTTTTTAGTAAAAACGTTAAAAATCACGCAGTGTCACAAATGTACATAAAATAACAGTTAAATTTAACTAGGAGACACCATACATGACCCGATCAAATATTATTTTCTTCTTCGACATCAGTTGATGTTCTAAAGGCTTTAAACCGAGCAGTGGTATTCAGAAAAGGTTTTATATAAGATTTAAAATAAAATTCTCTTAAATATTTCCGTTTAAAGAAACCTAAAGAAATAAGCGTGAATGGAAAACTAAGGAACAGAGCTTAGTGTCATTGTCTTGATGTTCAACTGTTTGATAACCAGAAGTAAATTTGAGAATTTTTGAGCACTTCTTTAAATTTTAAGTAACCTGCAACATGTTGATTGACATAATGAAATCAGACGATATCCTAATTCTTGCGAAAGAAACTAATGCAAGTCAATTTTTGATGATCACACACAATAGTTGTTTTCCTTGGGATAGATAAATAAGCTATGAAAAAGACTAGGGCTCACAAAATTAGAGGAAGTTTTACGAAGGGTTCGTCGAGCGCCTTATAAATAGCTCACCACTGAGTGTAGTGCTCAAGAACTTATAATTAAAGAAGCTTTACAGAAAAATAAAAATGATTGATTATTTAATAATCAATGTCTAGAAAGATCTGAAATGATTATCATTATGAACATAACGTTCACAGTGTGTTATGTATTTTATTTTATTCTTTAAAGGTCTTATTTGTTTTATTTTGTCATTGAATATGTCAATATTTTTAAAACTTATCAAAATTGAGATTCTTAATCAGCATCAAATTCAACATGAAAATGACCATAATTTTATTTCAAATGAAAATTGTAATAATTTGATGCGCTAAATCTGCAAACACGAAATTCCTTAAAATTTAAAAGAAACCGGAGAAATAAGTTTTGAGTTAGCTTCCGCATGTATGCTTTTAAAGTTTTAGTTTACAAATATAAGCAGTGAGTATCTAACCAGTAAATGTATTTTTTTTAATATATAGAAAAACTCGTGTCTGCGAAACCGCATTCGCTTCCTGTTTTCAACAATGGCAAGTTTTTTTTATTCCATTTACTTTATTTTCATACTACCTTTTTTCTGCATTTAAGTTGAGTTTTTGGATACATTTCCTTATATTTCTTGCCTTACTATCAAAACTCATTGTAACTTTTCATTACATTTTCTTCTGCTGTTATCCAAATAGTTTTCATTTCTCAATGTATTTCATAGTTCTATGCTGCAGACTCTTCTCGTGTATTGAAATTTATTCTCATATTTCCATTTTTCCTAGAAGAGTACAGGAAGAAATTTCCGGAGACTTTTTTTTAATCAGAATATATTTCTCTTTTTTATATTCCTTCTAACTCAATTTTTCATTTTTGTTTAAATTGTTTTTGGAAGCTAATTTTATCGCTTGGTATCGCTAAAAAGGGATGCAGTTACTCGTGTCTCCATTCTTCTAATACTACTACTACTACTACTATTATTATTATTTATTATTATTATTATTATTATTATTATTATTATTATTATTTATTATTATTATTATTATTATTTATTATTATTTTCTTATTTATTATTATTATTATTATTCTTATTATTAGTATTATTAGTATTATTATTTATTATTATTATTAGTTAGTAGTTTTAGTATTATTAGTATTAGTATTAGTATTAGTATTAGTATTAGTATTACTATTACTATTATTATTCTATTATTATTTATTATTATTATTATTATTATTATTCTTATTCTATTCTATATTTATTATTATTATCTATTCTATTATTATATATTATTATTATTCGTTTATTATTATTATTATTAGTTATTAGTATTATTCGTATTATTAGTATTCGTATTAGTTATTATTATTATTATTATTTATTATTATTATTATTATTATTCTATTCTTACTTATTACTATTCTTATTCTTATTATTGTTATTGTTGGAATTGACAAAAAGTTAAATAATCGGCTGAGTAATATATAGTTTGATCATATTTAGAGTTACCAAGAATTCCTCTTAAAGTTGACAACCAGAATTAAAATTTAAAGCTAAATGTAAGATGTCACCTGTTTTCTCTTAGAATCTTGCATTTTGTATTTTGTGTGCCGTATTTGTATTTGATGTGCGTTCTGGTCCATTAAAATGTCTTTCGAAATCAAGAAACCTTATAGATTTAACTTCTGGCCCCCACATGGATTCTACATTATTATTATCCTCAGAGTTTTACATTTTGCTGAAACCAAATCCCCGTTTGATTTTCTTTGAGGCAAATGGTTGTTCTAAGCTTTGCGTTTTAGCTGTATAAAATTTGTTTCCTTCAAACCTTTGCTTTAAATTTGCAATCTATATTTTGCATTTTTATCCAGGATTTTGCCTTTACAACATTTCATAGGAATAACAATAAAAATATTTGCTAATTTAAGGCATTGTATATAATTTAATCATTTTTCTTGATATCATTTAAAACCTTTTAGAGAGGTTGTTTATGACTCATTGAAAAAGGCGTATATTTTGGAATGTGGGTTTCATTATTTTTCCATTTGCATTTTCAGTTCGTGAAGATACGCTACGCTGATAAGATGGCTCATTCAAAACCATTTCAGTCTATTGAAGAAGCATTGGTATATTTTTATACATTATCAGATGATGAAGAGTGTATTGATATTTGTCAACTGCCTCCAAAAGAAAGTGGATGTTTGATAGATGAGGAAGATGTAAATGCAGATATTTTTTAGTCTGTTCTGTCAGCGAATGTATGTGGAAAAATCGAAATTTCTAATAAAATAGATGATGAAATATCTCAAGAAATTTCATTCGATCCTCAAGAACCTTCATCTTCAAAGGGAAAGAAAAATGTGAAGCGAAAACTAAATGTGAAAGAGAAAAACAGTGAACATCGGTGGGGGAAAAATTTAAATTTTAACAAAATTCTAAAAACTGGCAGCATTGAAAATATTTGCGAAGTGTTTCCTAAACTAGTTACTTTATCTCCAGTTGAAGTTTTTCACAAATTCCTAACTAGAGAATATTTGCTGCATTTAGCAAATATGACAGGTCTTTACACAATGCAGAAAGGAGAAGTTTTAGCAGTAGATGAAAACGATATTGGACAGTTTTTTGAATTACTGCTGTTTAGTGGGTATCATGGAGTACCCGGCGAAGATTTATACTGGAGCACTCAAGAAGATTTATCTGTCCTAGTAGTTTCTTCTGTAATGCCAAGAAATAGATTTCGAAAATGAAAAAAATATTTTCATATTATAAATAATACCAAGTTGGCATTAGGAGATAAAACAGGAAAAGTTTCTCCTTTTTATGAAGAACTGGAAAAAAACTTTCAACAGTTCGGCATCTTCCATTCCTGCAGTGTGAAGTTTTGTATGGAGATTATTTGTTACTTATTTCTACAACACTTTTCCTTGTTTCAGTATAAACTGCTAACAATTAATATAGAATTCTTTTATAAATTTTTGTGTATCAACTATGTAATTTTTTTTAATTTATTACGGAAGCTTTTTTCTGTGGAAGCTTCATATCTTCTCCTAAGAATTTTGGTGGAGTAGCTTTGCGGTTATAAAGGTTATAGGGTTATAGGCGGTTATAGGCTCCCTATTTTTCTGCTTAATCTATGTTACTTCCGAATAATATTGACAAATTCACTTGCTAATGCTGAAAAAAAGCAGACATAAACGAAGCTTCGAATTACAATGTCGATAATCATGTTTTACAAAAATCATGTAAAAAAACTGTTTCCCCGCCATTGTTCCATTTATGGAACATGTTATAAATCATTAAAAATTTTTAAAATTTTTTTTTATCTTTTTTCATAATTCTTATATTTGAGTTTTAAATCGATTTTTCACAACAAAACGTTTACTTTACTTTCGCATCATAGTTTGGCGTGTAAAAGGTTTTAATCGCTTTTTTTTAAATTTACGCTTTGCAATTATATTTTTCTTTAAATTCACCCTTTATTTTTATTTTCTTGCATATTATTTAATAGTTTTTCTTTTTAAACTTACTTTATATTTTGCATTTTAACATAGAGTTTTGTCTTTATACGCATTTGGTATGAATAATAATCAGCTGATATTTTATAATATTATTGCATTGTATATATAATTTAATAGTTTTTCTTGAAATTGAAGAATTGAATAACTGATTCCTCATTTCCAGAACTATTAATTTAATTTCATATGTCTAAAACTAACGCTGTAATCATATAAAAACGACATCATAAATATATCTTCAGTAAATCAAAATCGCAATAACAACCTTGTATTTAGCGTACATATATTAAAACACTCAATCGATTTCGAGGGCAGCTAAAGGTCCCTCCTCATCAAAGTACTACTCCTCATCATATCTTCAGTAGTTGTTCCATTAAATGAAATCAGGCTCAAATTGACATTCGTTTCAAGTAGGGAATACTTCCTGTCCATTTGAACATTCTTCAACACATGTCAATAACGTTAAAGGATATAACTTTCCGTCTTCAATGGCAGAAATTTCAATAAACAATAGATGACTTTTTGCTCTTAAATGAATTCCAAATTATACTTGAGTACAGTAATTTATGAAACTTATAGTGAATACTTATTTGAAGATTTTAGCTGCTACAGAACTGTAGGAGGAACAGTAGAGAATCTGTTAATCTTTCCATAGGACGTAGCAAGTTCTGCATCTAAAAACATTACCATCTCGAAGCTTATAACTTTGTTACATGCTTCGATGTGGATTTGTCAAACAAGGTAATAATATAGCTTTGATAATATGTATAAATGTATCAAAGTATATTTTTTTCTATTTATTTTCATTTATAGCGCGTTATATTGAGGTAAAGTATTGTTCTTTAGATAAATACAACGTACCTAGGTTAAATAATCATCATCCAAGTAACCATGTCACTCATGATCATGTATAATCCGACAGCAGTTATATAGTACAGAAGAAATGAATAATCCATATCATAATTAACGAGAAAAACCTAACAACGGTTTGCATGTAATATTAAGCCGTTTAATCTGAAAAAGAATTTTATTTCCTTGCGTAAATTCAGCCGTATTCAAAAGTCTCTCTCTCCAGGGCAAGCAAAGCCTCTTTTCTCAATGTGTTTCTTCTGTTTTCTTGTTAAATTTCTTTCTCATTTCATAGTAGTATACTGTTTCGTTCTGTTTATGATACTCTCGTATGTAAAGGAGTCAAAATGAAACTGGTAATTACTGACCGTACAGTCAACATTTTTTATATATATCAATTGAGCATTTACATTTATTGAATGAATTTAAGAATGTTTTTATACTCCGGATTACGTACAATCGAGGCTTCGACGTACAATTAAATTACGTACTGCCCTAGATTAAAAGAAACACTTCCAAATACAGCAACAATAACTGCAATCACTGTCATCATGACATAGATTTTTTTTAATATGTTTCGTAGTCTCCGTGCACAATTTTGTTTCACGCTGAGGGTTTGTGAGAGTGGTGTTAAATTTTTCCACAGTAAGGAAACTGAGTTTTATTTTAGATAGAATCTAAATTCACCATATGGGGAATTCGCCCATGTATAATTCGAAAGAACACTTAATAACGCATTTATTTCACACCCATAACACACCAGCGTAATTAAAATAAACAAATTATAGATCCGACTCATATAAAATAAATGCAATATTTATATTTTTCAAATAAACAACTGGCATACGGAACAAAATCATATACCTTTCGCAGATGTGTATACCTATTGATATTTAGACTTGCATTCAACGTTCGGATTGTGGAAGACAGCATATAAACTTTAATCAATAATATCGCAACGGAGTTATAAATTGCATAGATGTACGAGATTTGTTTTAACTGTCTTGATTAAACACATAAATATAGATACTTTTCTAAATCCTATTTGACAGTCATAGAACAAATTCAACAAAGTCACGCCCTATCTTCTAATACATTTGACACAGAAATTATTTTTCATAAATCACTTTATATTTACGAGATTTCCTTGTGCCACATATTTGAAAGTTAGTTACATAATTTATTAAAAATGTGAAATTGGAAGAGTCAATTAAAAATGACAAGTTTTCTGGCTCTAATTCTTTACAAAACAGCGTCTGTTATATGGAGAAAGTGTTCATTCTGTACTCAAACGACGCGTTTATCAAGTTAATGCGTTTTCCGATACTTGTGTTTGAAATTGGGTAGCTTATCAGAAAATAAATTGGGATATGAAATGGCCATAAAAGACACCTTCTTTAAATCAAAGCTCCTCTTGGAAGAAGGAAAATGCGAGTTTTTTTTCTTTAAACATTTTTTCAATAGGATACGAATAAGTATATATCGGTTATTCGTCGTATTATTTTTGTAAGCGGTAAAGGAATCGGTATGGTTTAAATGGTCATTTTATGTTTGATTAGAATTCTCTTGTGGCCGAGAATTATTACACAAATAATGATTTAAAAAAAATTAAATGGATAGATTCTGTTTTTAGTTTCCTCCCAAAAAATGAGTAAAATAATCAATAACTTTAGCTTGCATAAAAGTATCAAAAGTTGATTTTTGAACCACAACTCAGAGTGGAATCCCATTTATCCGAACTAATTGAGTCATTAAGGATATCATATTAATTACGATAACCTATAGAAAGTATTTTCTATGTTTGCAAATGGAAATAAATACGTATAAATTTGTTAGATAAAAATATGGAGGTATTAATAAGCTTACCTCTATATATGAATAAATGCTCATATGTATAGTTTATGGTTATTTCACATCACAATGCGTTTCCTGATAAGCTGCCTAATTTCAAACACAAGTATCGAAACTTCATTAGCTTGATAAACACGTCGTTTGGTTCAGAATGAACATTTTCCTGAATAAAGAGGACGATGTTTTGCCAAGAATATGAACCAGAAACCAGTGTTTATTTTAGTAGTAAAAGGGAAAAAAATTTAAATTTTAATGTGAACTAAATGTAAATGTTTCCTTCTTGAACAATTTTTATCACTGTATAAGCTAATAAATGAAATATTTTATTCCAGAAGGATATAAATATTAACTTTTCTTTAAATTTGTAGTAGATTTACTTTCAGCGATTTCATCAGATAAATTACACTAAATTTTTTCAGTAAAACTACCGAATTCACATTCCACACCAGGTTTTACACAATAACTGAAGATGCATCAAGTAATCCAGCATACTAAATAAAAGAAAGAAAAACTAAGTTTGTTCTCTTTGCTATTATAGCCTTGGCAAATAAAAATTTGATTTTTGTTCAAGTACCTGTAAAATTACCAGCTATGTAATTCACTCGTGATCAAAACACAGTTATAATATAATGATCAGGATATAAATTTTTAGATAAATGATCCCTCTTGATCTTCTATATACATTAAATGAATGTTTCTGAAAGGGGAATACAGTAAGTTCATTCTGAGAAATGGAATGCAAACGTGCTTTTGAAATTGATTCATTCAGTATTTAGTGCGTCCTGAATAGTAGTTTCATTATCTGCAATGGAATATAGGGTTTACTCGCGGTGCTATTTAACAGGATTTTATAAATTCAGACAAATAGATCGTGTGCCCCTAAAGTCCTTTTGAACATGTTTAGTGGCAATTACGAACCAACCATTCATTAAATCAAACTTGTGAGACATTTGTACACAACAGCAGAAGCATTGCTATTCTAACAAGATTTAATGCAGAAAGAAGTACCAAACATATAACGTCTTAATATCATACAATTCATCTGAATCGAGCGTAACGAACACATGTTAATTTTTTCAATTGACAAATTGATTACTAAATGTTTTAAAAATTTTATGTATGTAATCGTGTAATTTAACCAACTGCTGCGTTTATTCCGTCGAATTGTCAGTCAAATATATTTATTTTTTGTTAAACATATAAACGGCTGACATACCAAGCAGTTAATGTTATAAAATTAAAAAAAAAATTGTGTAATTTTGGCGCTACATTTATGCCTCATTAGTTAAGTTCCTGTTGAAAATAATAAATATCTGAGTAACTTAAATTTATTCTTTATATAAAATGAAATAGAAAAATAGTCCTGATTATTAATATTACGTAACTTAAAGAAAAAATAATATTTGCAGCACTAAAATCAAAATTATACTGTCACTGGGAAAACGACTAACTTCCCCCTCTAGGAAAATGATTTTATAATTTAACACTGTGAAAGAACGTCAGATTACCGTTGCAAGTATGGCATTTTTGTA